TTTTGCGATGGCTGAGGTGGGATGGCGGGTGACTGCCATTGAGTTTGTTGGCGTTTTGCCTGCACATCTATTGAAGATGGACTAGTAAGTGCACCTGGCAAAGTCCCACTTCTTCGAAAGGCAAAGTTGAAACCTGAATTGATAAGAACAAATTTAGCTCGCAGTCAATCAAAGATGTTAACAAATAGATATTTCAGGAATATAACCGAGTGCTTTAGTCTCCTCTGAAATTCTTCCTTCTTTTATGTTCAACAATACCCAACCGTAAGAAGCATCGGGTAAGTTAAAGTGCCACATGCCCTTGTAGGAAGCTTCTTCCCGTCCACTCACTGGAATACGATTGACAACAGTCATCGCATTATTAAGTAAATGTCTTTGTGATATACTAATAATTTATTAAATTACATTAATCAACTGAAAGTTAAAATAACTTAATCAAAATAAAATGTATATTCCAATTAAACCACGATAACATACTCGATACTAGCTTCCACTTGATTTTTAACAGTATCCCATAACTCATAAAAATTTTTTTGAGATTCTTCTAATCTTTTTCGAAAATGTTCATGATCATGTTGAACGGAAAATTCATTATACGATATGCAGTAACGGAAATGAATTCCTGACGAAATAGTATAATCGGCCTGAAAATTAAACCTAAATTAATTTCTGACATATATCGAACTTAAACTCAAATTAAGATTAACCTACACGCAAAACAAGAGCCAACTGCGCTACAAGCCCCACAAGACCTGGACTTGCTAGAGTAACAAGAATTCTAGTTTCTGTTTTATCATAAGCCTAATAATTTGAAATTAGAATAATAATCTTTTTTATTACGCCAATTAACTAAATATGCTTACTTTTTGAGCAGTCTCCACCAACTCTCCTATTTGCAGCATGGTTGTCCACATTGTACCACCTCCTCCAGCAATGGTTGATTTGCCTAATTTTTTTTGATGATAATAAGTTCTTGTGATTATCTAATATCCAATAAAATATATAACCTACCATCTCCATTATCAAATAACTTATGCTGAGCGATTGCCCCTCCTAATCCAAATAATCGCAAGTTCACTCCTCCAGTATCGATTAAATATGTATTGGCCTCGTCCAAAATATAAAGATTTGGTACCTTGTATTCACCCGTTCGAAACTTTTCTAAGACAACAACATCCTCACATTGTCCGCATATGGTATATACAGGAACTTTGAAAGATAATATTCTATCTCTGAGGTATGGAAATTCAGAGAGACCCTCAGGTGACTCATAAATAGCACGACGCACTTCTTCCATTGATGACTTTGAATTTAAAAGATTTCGAATTCTTGGAGATATATAAGTATTGTAATTTATGATATGACGCAGAGTCCTAAACAATGATATCAATGTTATTGATCGTCGATGAACAAAAAGATTGTACGAAAATTAATTCTTGCCTATCGCTAATCCGCTCTAAACTCTCTTTTTCTATAAATCAAATTTTATAAAGAGGAATAATTTACATGTGTACTTTTCAATAAGTGTAAGATTTTCCATAAATGCAAGTAGACTTACCATAAAATCCAAAATTACCAGTATGGATAACTGCAGTGGCGTGTGTTTCGTCGGCAAGCTTATTTATTATGGAGATGTTACCTACACGATGATTTTAATTTTAGACTACGTCAAAAAAAATGCAAGATATATAATTTGTCTTGATAGTATAGAATTCCAACCTTCAGCGTTTGCCACACAAATAATTCTTCCGGAACTTGTGTTAATTATACTCAGATTGGATAATGGAAGATTAGTTGTGTTCACCGAAATCCCATTCGGCCCATTTCGCGGTAAGCTATTAGTTTGGTATGTCGAAATTTCTGACAAAGGATTTCCATAATTCATAGAGAACCCTGTGGCAGATAAACAATATCGCGACATTTACATAATTATGGTCTGAAAAAAAAAATTGTTTTACGGGTGAACGCATAGATTATTACCATTTTGACCATTTGTTTGATAAGTTGCGACTTGCGGGTGAGATGTGTGACCGTTCATATTATTTACATGGGCTGTATTTAACTCAGATGTGTCGTAATTTGTTTCCTGAGTAGGCATATAACTATTTTCCAAGTTATTGTAGACTTGATGGTTATAATTGGTATGTGGAGCCCTTTGATAATGCTCTGTTCGAGGGTAATCTGTCATTGTCCAAAAAAAGGCTTTCGGATCTTTGAACTCAAATATAGCCTCAAATTCAACTTGTTATCAAGTAAATATGAAATTTTACTTGTTTATAGTGAGTACAATCGTGGGACGAAGAGCAATAAGTCGCGAGAACAGTTCCATGAGGTGTTTAATTTCTTATGTCACACAAATGGTGCCTCATTCGTTTGTCGTTTACACAATTCTTTGATCTTATCATGTGACGTAAGCACGCTAAGATAAAGTATTGTATATCGATATTCATACAATAGGTAAATCAAAAAAAAAACAGATATCCATGCAACAAGAACAATGTATTGAATGCAAAGTCATTGAATATCCTCTTTTTTTATTTTCCACGTGATATATACTGCATTATTTGTACAATTAAACATTCTATTTTCTAATTCAAGGTTCTTGATATACTTATTTAAATATATTATTATAACAAACTGATTATAAATAAATTTTTTTTATAAAAAAATAATGCTGTACAATATGTATACTATCTTTTTAAGCCCTTAATATCTGATTACAATATATAGTATGCAACAATATATATATTGTATATTTTATTTATTTATTTTACAATTATATCAAACTATTATAAATACAAAATATACAATAACTATGGATATAAACTTATTTAATTCAACTTATTTATTAATATTACAAATTTTTAAATATAATTTATAGAACAAAAAATTGATTGTTTATTAAATAAGATTTTAAGATTTTAAATTTTTTTAATAAAGTTAAAATTTATAAATCATATTTATAATTATGTATATATTATAAATTTAAATTATAATATTTTATCTTTTTTTATAAAAATTATATTAAAAAAATCATTATTTATTTTATTTATTATTAAAGATTTTTTAATTTTAATTTGTTTTTTTTTATAATTAAGCTATTAAATTTTATATTTAAAAACTTTTAATCAAAAAATATATTGTTTTTTTTATTTTTATTTTTTTTTAAACTATTGTTTTATTTAATTTAATTAATCTGATTTATTTGTTATTAAGATATTAACAATGTAACAAGTAAACAATTATATATTAACAATAATAAATATATAATTATATGTTATAAATTATATCAAATAAACAATTATATATTATTTATAACAAGCAAACAATTATATAATAACTATAACAAGTAAACAATTATATATTAATTACAATAAATAAATAATTTATCTGTAGAGATGATCTGCAGGCTTTGACTCTATTAAACAAATGAGATTTTAATCCCAATTAATGGACGAGCAATATATCATCCCCATAAATCGCATCTAGAAACTCTTTGGTCACAGACAGATGAGCTGGGTTGGGGAAATTTATACATACAATTTATATTTGTAATGGTTTATTTTAATTTAATAAATAAATGACACCAACCTAATTGAGGGAAAAAAAAAAAACAATAAATAAATAATTATATATTAATAATATATATATATATAATCCTACAATTAGATTAGTATCATTTATTTATTAAATTATAAAGAACTATTACATATACAAAAATATATGCAAAGTACAAATTTTCTCAATCCAACTCATCTATTGACAACTGAAGCCTCTAGATATAATTTATGAAAGTAATATATTGTTCCTCTAAATGATAAGATTAAGATCCCAAACTTCTGATAGAATTAAAACCTGCAGACCATCTCCACAATTATAACCATAAATTCAAATTATGTTATTCTCTTTTATAAAAACTATATAAGGGAAAAAAGAAATAAAAAAGAAATTTTTTGACAAAAAAAAAAGAAAAAAGCTATCATCTATTTTAACTATTATTGAAAAGGTTATCTCAATAAACTTAAAACCCAAGTTCTTTATAGTTTTTTACTTCTTATTACTTATGGCCAGTCAAACTGTTTAATTTTTATTGAAGTAGTGAATGTTCAAAAATGTTTAAGAACACTTTCAGAAGAATATTTCTTGAAACTTTATGCTTAAAGACTTTTAACCAGAAAAGATATTAGTTTTTTATTGTTAATTTCTCTTCCAAGTCATATCTTCTGGAATTATGGCTTTACTCAACCAATGAATAGTTTCAAGATTTCTTTCTTCAACCATTTCTGAAATAAATATCAATACTTCATCTTGTTACCAGATTGAAATAGGACCTAGATCTTGTTGCTACTTTTTGTTTTCAAAAAAGAATAGGAATGAAAAAAAAGAAAATAAAAGAATAGAAACAAAACGGTGTCACTTCTCTTCTACTCATAACTTCTACTACAACTAATATTTTTATACTACTTCTTCAACTAAAAACCATCCAACTCTTTCAAAAACTAATTACATAATCAGTTTGGTATTGCACAATTGAGAACACATAAGAAGTACATATTTTGTTTACTTTTTTTGTGACTGACATAATCAACCAATCTGTGGCCTTGACCAATCATCTTTTAGAAAATCTTGTGTAATTAAAAATTCAAGGTCAAACTGAGGTAGACAAAATTCTCCAGAAAAACCAAAAAAAAAGAAAACATATTTGAAAAAAAAAAATAGGAAGTCAAAGAGATAATAAAAAGACTAGTAATTTCTTTGTTCTTGTTTCTCTAAATTCTTGAATCTTTTAAGGATCTTTGGAGGGTAACTTTTCTTATCAGTTTTCTTTCTATAAAGATGTTCTTGTCATAAACCTTTTAGATAGGTTTCTTGTATTTAGTTGTAAAAATAAACAAGAAAAGTGTTTTGAAAAGGAAAAAAAAACAAGTGGTGGCTTCTGCTCACTCTGCTGGTTAAAAAACCAATGTTGTTAAGGAAAGTGTATAAACTTTTATTATCATAAAGACATAAAGTCTTTTGAGAATATCTGTTTTTGGGGTTAACAAAAGAATCAGTGAAAAAAGTTTTAATATTTTAGATTATTATTTTTATATATTATTAATATATTAAACAAACAAGTAAACAATTATATATAAGCAATTATATATAAGGTAGATAGGGGTAATTTGGCGAAGTTAACAATGCTATTGATTAAACTTTTTATTAATCCATGTAAAAATTTATATATTTGAAGTCAAAAGATTATACCATATTTAGAATAGATTTATAATAAAAAAAAAGAATATGGCAAATAAAAATTGGTAAAAATCACTACTGTGTATATAGTATTAAAAAATATAATTTTAAGATCAAAGAGGTAATTTGGCAAATTTTGATTATCAAAATTAAAATAATTTTTTTTACTTCTTTTTTTTAACAATTTTTTTGTTTTCTAAGAATCTTTTGAACTCTTTTTTCATTTTTTTGTGCCAAGCGAAGTTCCCGTTCAACTTTCTTTTGAGCTGATATCTCCTTTTTTTATCTTGATTTATCAGCTTTACGTTTTATTTCTTTGTTTATTTCTTCTAATTGGCACCAACTTTCTTCACTAGTAAGAAGCCAGGAAAATAGAAGTGTCTTTCTTTTTTTTCTTGAAGAAGGTAGATCAGACCCAGTCTGGTCTTCTGTAGTTGATTGTAAATATTCTGTTGGAATGCGAGGAACTGGATACTTAAGAACTGAATGTAAAGAGGATGTTCCAGGATTTTTGTAAGTATTTAATTCTTTATTTAATACTGAAATTTGTGACTTTAGCAAAGCATTTTCATTTTTAAGTTTTATATTTTCTTCTATTAGTTGATTAATATTCGAACGAGTAGAATGAAAATGCTTTGAATTAGTAGACTTTTGAGTTGACAAAGATGGTATAGCTTGTTGAATAGAAAATTGACTAGACAAAGGTGAGATATCTAATTGTTCTGTGACTAATGATAGATTTAAATGGTCAGGACTAATAGCTTTTGGATTAAATGACCAAATTCTCATTGCTTTATAGGCATTACAAATAGCTTGTGAAGTATAAGTTTCAAGAAAAGCAGAACTAAAAACTCTTGCAAAGACTTGTTTGGTTACTATCATGCCATTATTTTCATTACTATATTTTTCACATGCCTTACTATATTCTTTTTTTAGCTTTGCGAAAGGAATTTCTGATGGTTGCAAAATATGAGTTGTATGTGACGGAAGTGCATAAAGAAAAATTCCATTGTTATGACAAAAGTCAACAATTGTATAACTGATATGACTACTATGACTATCTAGCATTAGTAATACTGGTTGGATAGGAGGAATTGATTGAATAAAATGATCAAGGTACATTTGAAATAAGTCTTCACGCATGTATCCTGTACTTGTAAAGCCCATTACCGTTCCTGATGGTACTCCGTCAAGTAAACCAGGAATCATACGAATACCTTTATAAATTATTAAAGATGGTATATAAGATTCAGCTGCTAAAATTGTAGATGCAACTGAAATATGGTCATATGAATTTTCATGTGCAATTTTGTGAACTTGACATGCACCTTTTTTCGCTATAACCTTTTCTAATTTAGGTACAATTATGAATCCAGTCTCATCCATATTCCATATTTGTGTCGTGGCAAGTGAATTTTCATTGATAATTTGTTTAAGTTTTTTGAAATAATCATCAACAATTGTTTTATTTGCTTTTTGTGCCCTTGCCTCCAATAAGTTTTGAGAAACACAAAAGGACAATTCAGAATGGTCTCTTATGAAACGTTCCCACCAGTCTTGACCTGGTCCATCTTCTCCAAATGGATGTGATCGTTTATTTAACTTCATTATTTTCATTATGCAATAATTAACTCCCATTTTGTTAAACCAAACCCAAGCTTTTGCATATTAATGCAGTAGCCGACAAGTTGATTTTCTTCATGACTGGTGAGAACGTTGGGTGCACCTGGACGTTTAGGGGGACCACCATTACCAACTGCACGCTGAAGAGTAGTTTCTGAAAGACCAAAGTCTTTTGCCAAGCTATTAATACTTGGAGGTTTGGATCCGGAAGGACAATCATTTAACTTTTTAAGTGCAGCACTGATTGCATCACCTCTTTTAGCAGAAGAAATTTTCATGTTTGATTAAATTTTTATTAAAGACTTGCGAAATAAAAAATAGTGCAAAATT